AGAAATAGCCTTTTAAAAGTAAAAACAGTAATCAATGAGAAGATGTAATAGAAGATCCTACTTACATTATAGCTGAAAAAGTAGATTATGCTTAAAAGAAATATAGAAATTCCAGTTCAAAAAAATTTAAAGCCTGCTGAGAAACACAGGAGAATGTGAACAATTGCAAAGGCATGTTCTGCTTTTGAGTAGAAACAGTCATCATAATCATGTCAGCTATCTTTATTTTAGTGCAATCTCAGTAAGAACACTTTAAGGAATTTGTTTTTTGAGACCAATTAAGGTGCCTCTCTAGTTAATATGAAAAATAAATGGGTAGGAAGAGCCAAAACAATTATAAAAAGGGGTGGTGGTATTAAAGGATATTATTACATAAAACCAGAATAATTTATGTAGCACAGTGTTGGTATATTATAGGCAGCTTGATGGAACAGGGCATCAAATTCTGAAATGGATCTCAAAATGCACATCAAACCTCATTTATGATACAGACTGTTGTTCTGTGGTATGATAACGGTGCATTTCAAATACAGAAGGAGAAATGGATTACTTAGTTAATGGAAGTGAGACAAACTGGATACTCTCTGGAAATAAGTTGAATTCATATTTCACGTCCTATATCAAAATACATTTGAGATGGAGCCAATATTTAAATATAGCAAGTAAAGAGAAGTAGAAGAAAACCAGGAATGTTTTCATCATGGAATGGGAAACAAATTTCTGAGTATAATATGAAACCCAGAAGAAAAGAAAAGAAAAGTTTGATCAACTGGATTACATAATAATAAAATAATTCAGTATGACAAAAATAACCACAAGGAAAATGAAAATTCAGACAACAGACTGGGGGAAGTATGCAATTTCCATCATATGTAAAGGTTTTATTTTCCAGTTATATAAGAAGCTCCTATAAAACAATGAAAATACCAATAACCAACAGAAAAATGCAAAAAACTAGATGTGAACTTTAGAAGAAAAACACAATAGGATTTTAATCATATGATAAGATGCTCAATTTCATACATAATAAGAAAGTGTGAGAAAATACAAACTATAAAGTAGTAACATTTTACATGCCAATTTGGCAAATGTCACAACTTTGCTAACATACCGTGTAGGTTAAAGTGAGGGAAAAATAAACAGTATTTATATACAACATACTGAACGGAGTGTAGATTGGCACAATGACTATGAAGAGTAACTTCACAATATTCATCAAGATTATAGATATAAATATACTTTCACCCAGCAATTCACTGCTGGGAATTTAGCCAACAAATAGCTCTCATACATGCAGATAGCACCTATTACTATGGCAAAATTATTCAAGGTAGTTTTGTCTGTAATTGTGAAAGACTGGAAACAATCCAAATGTTCAACAATAGAAGTTTGGTTACAGTGTTTTTGTTTACTGTTTTTTGGTTTTTTTTAAATGATGAAAAAATATTGTGTGACTATTAAAAAAGAGAAATGTAGTGGCTTCAATTGTCCTCTAAGATAGGGTACAGCAAGATGCAGAACTATTTGTGTGAAAAAAAGGAAGGAAAGAAATATATTGATTTTTTTGCTTGTTTATGCAAAAAATATTTCTGAAAGGATACCTAAATACCTTAGTTAGCTGGGGCTGCCATAACAAAGTACCATAGCATACGTGGTTTAAACAACAAATATTTATCTTCTCACAGTTCTGGAGGCTGGAAGTCCAAAATCAGAGTGCCAGCATGGTTGAGTTTTGCTGAGGGAGAGAGACAGCTCTTCAGTGTCTTCTTTTTCAGATGGAGTCTTGCTTTGTCACCCAGGCCGGAGTGCAGTTCACTGCAAAAACCTCCATCTTCCAGGTTCAAGCAGTTGTCCTGCCTCAGCCTCCCAAGTAGCTGGGATTACAGGCGTATGCCACCACATCTGGCTAACTGGCTAATTTTTTTGTTTTTAGTAGAGACAGGGTTTCGCCATGTTGACCAAGCTGGTCTGGAACTCCTGACCTCAGGTGATCTGCCCGCCTTGGCCTCCCAAACTGCTGGAATTATAGGCATGAGCCACTGCGTCCGGCCCAGTGTCTCTTCTTCTGAGGGTACTAATCCCATTGGCCTCACCCTCATCAACTCATCCAAACCTAATTACCACCCAAAGGCTCCATCTCCAAATACCATCACATTGTGAATTAGGGCTTCAACATATTAATTTGAGGAAGACACAATTCAGTCCACAGCACCAAATATTTGATCATAGCAGTCGCTATGATCATAGCAGTCCCAGGCAGGGAAGCAAGACATAGGAGAATAGGATTGGAAAGGTGATTTTTCATTGTTTGCTCTTTGTACCTCTGTAATTCTCTACTTATCTGATATCAACTGAGTGTCCAACAATTCAATTCAATTCTGACCCACTGTGTTACTGACCACATGTTCTTGGATTCTCAATAGAAAGTGACATGAGGCTGAAAGAGTTTTCCCAGATAAGACTTCATTGGAGCTTATGCCCAGACAGGAAGGCAGCATGAGAGAGAGAGAGAGAGAGACACTGGGGTAGGCTGAAGGGTAGAGTATGCAGGTCAGCATTATCTGCTCATGATGATTATCTTGAATAATGAACCACCTGGTGGTCTGGGCAGCAGCAACAAGGCTGTAATCAATTGTTCAGAATTTCTTCCCAGGTGGGGCATTCCACAACCTTGGTTTGATATTTAGATTTCCTAAGGGCAGTTTCTGGAATTCTTTAAGTAAAAGGCATAAACATGAAGGAGGAGCCGCTTCCCATTGCTGTTCTATCTCATATGTACTTAGGGTTAGCATCAGATTCTGTAAGTTAAAGAGCTCAGTCCCACAAAACTTACAGGACATGCGACAGGGGTGAGACTCATGTGTTTGGCTGTCATACACTCAAACCCCTAACAGGAAGGGGAGCACACAAAGAGGCAGGCACAGGAGCTGAGGTGAGTGCTTTGAGGCTCTGGCCCCAGAATAGCATATGCAGTGGGTGCCTGTGACTCCCAAAGCTCAAGTGGGCATGGCATGTGTTACAGTGTGTTCTTTTAGCTTTGCTGTCCACAGGCGGCTTAAGTGTTATCCAGCTCAGTGGATCCTCTTCATTTTTGCAAGGGCAGAGGGCCAGTGTGACAGCTTTCTGTAACCCAAGCTCTTGTCCAACATCCTGGAAGAATCAGGTCATACACAGACTTGAAGGGTGGTGAATGTGGGGGTTTACTGGGTGTTGAAGGTGGCTCTCAGTGGGATGGATGAGGAGCTAGAAGGGGGATGGAGTGGGAAGATGATCCTCCCTTGAAATTCAGATGCTCTTTCTCTTCTCTCTGCTGTACCATTCTGCTGTTCTTCTGCTCTTCTGTTCATCTGCTCATCTCCTTCTGTAGCTTGAGGTCTGGGGTTTATATGGGTACGAGATGGATGGGTGTGGTGGCCTAACAGGCAACTTTTTGGTCATGAGAACACAAATGCCTGTTTCCATTTATGGCTGTGAGTATCCAGGCTTGAGGATGGAGCCTCTGCCAGAGAACTACCCTCTTCCACACAGTATTTCTCTGTCTCTTGTCCATGTCACTCCTACACTGTCACTAACTATTATTGACTCCTGAAAAAAAGAATTTATCAGATTCCTACTTCCAGGTCAGATTCTAAGAGCAGGCTTCTTCAGAAATGGGACAAGTGGCTGATGAAGAGTCAAACTCTGTAAAATATTTTAAGAGATTTATTCCCATCCAACTTTGAGTGATTGTGGCCTATTAAACAGCTCTCAGGAGGTCCTGAGAACATGTGTCCAAAGTGGTTGGGTTGCAGCTTGGTTTTATACATTTTAGGGAGACATGAGACTTCAATTAAATTCATTTAAGAAATACATTGGAGGCTGGGTGCTGTGGTTCATGCCTGTAATCCCAGAATTTTGGGAGGCTGAGGCAGCTAGATTACTTGAGTTCAGGAGGTTGAGACCAGCCTGGACAACATGGTGAAACCCTGTCACTATTAAAAATAAAAAAATTAGCTGGGTGTAATGGTGTGTGCCTGTAATCCTGGCTCCTTGGGAGGCGGGCGCAAAAATAGCTTGAACCCAGTAGGCGGAGGTTGCAGTGAGTCAAGATCGCGCCACTGCACACTCCAGCCTGGGTGACAAAGTGAGACTCTGTCTTAAGAAAAGAAAAGAAAATACATTGGTTTGGTCTAGAAAGGCAGGACAACTTGAAGCAGGGGCTTCCAGCTTACAGGTAGATTTTAAAATTTTCTGGTTACAATTGGTTGAGTTTATCTAAAGACCTGGGATCAACAGAAAGGAATGTCTGGATTAAGATAACAGGTTGTAGAAGCCAAATTTCTTATTTGCAGAGGAAGCCTTCAGGTAGTCAGAGAGAATAGATTGTAAAATGTTTCTTATGAGACTTAAAGTCTGTGTTGATGTTAATGGCAGAGAGGTATAATGAAACATGTCCAACCCCCAGTTTTCCCATCATGTCCTGAAAGTCTCTCATGTTAAATTTTAAAAGAACCCTGGCTGAGGAGGAAGCCCATTCAGGTGGTTGGGGACCTTGGAATTTTATTTTTGGTTTACAAAGGGATAATAAATTTTGATTTAAAAAACAAAATACCCGAGGGCTGGGCTCAGTGGCTGATGCCTATGACCTCAGCATTTTGGAAGGCCAAGGTGGGAGAATCACTTGAGGTCAGGAGTTTGAGACCAGCCTGTGCAACATAGGGAGACCTTGTCTACACACACACACACACACACACACACACACACACACACAAAATCTGAGGATTTTTGTTATTTTTTTCTTCAAAGACAGGGTCTTACTATGTTACCTGGGTTGAATTTGAACCTGTAGACTCAAGGGATCCTCCTGGTTCAGCCTCCCAAGTACATGAGACTACAGGTATATGCCACCACACTCATTCTTTTGGTTTTGTCATCTGTAAAATGAGTGAACTGGACCAGTGTGTCCTCAGATTTCCTTCCTTGAGATTATTTTTCTTACTTGTCAGATGAGGAAACCAATATTCAAGAGTTCCATGATCACCAGCTCTTTTAATCCATTTGAGCTGTTAAGACAAAATACCACAGACTGGGTAACTTATAAAAAATTGGAATTTATTTCTTAGAGTTCTTGAGGCTAGGAATTCAAAGATCCAGGGGGCAGCTGATGAGGGCTCAGTTCCTCTGTGTCCAAGATGGTGCCTTGGGGCAGCATCCTACAGAGGGGATGAATGCTGTCCCCTGATGTGGCAGAAGGCAGAAGAACAAAAAAGGACTTAATGTTACTTGGAGCCTCAGGGCCTTAGTCCCATTCACAAAAAGTAATCTAATCACCTCTTAAATGCTCCACCTCTTAATACTATCACATGAACCATTACGTTTCAACACATATATTTTGGAGGAAATCCATTCAAACCATATCACCAGGCAGGGAGCCTGTTTAGCATGTCCACTTACCACCAAGTTCCATGGCCTTTCCACTGTATCATACTCATTCATTCATCCTTTGAGTACAAGGTATGATGCTACCTGCTGGGGATGCAAAACCAAAAAGATAAGCCTCCTGCTCTCTGGGGCTGACAGCTGCTAGGGAAAATTAATGCTTATAGAGCCTCATGGTCAGCTCCCTGCTGGAGAGAGAGATGAAGGAAGGAGGACAAAGGGTATCGGGGAATGGGGTCAGAGCAAGTTTCCCAGGAGAGGTCCATCACTGAAGCTGAACAAGAAAGGATGAATAGGTGTTTGGTATAAAGAAAGAGAGGGCCTGTGCTCTCAGGAGACAATACTTTATCCTTAAGTGGGATACTTAGGGTCCATGTCAGTTGTTTGTGGTAGACTGGGAGACAGAAACTTTTGGGTAGAGGGGTCTTTCAACCCTTTTTGGATAAGATCATTTGTCACTGCCCTATTAAAGTCTGTATCAGATTTTCAGGGTCATAGGCTACTTCTAACTTGTTCTTCTGCCAACCCCTATGTGGTCTTTATGCAAGAGGCTACATTGTGAAAGATTGAAGCTGGCAGATAAATAACAGGCCAGGCCATAACTACTTCTTTGGGTGGTTTATACTTGGTTTTACTTCCTAGATTATGAAGAGGGGGATTTGCATTCCTCTTAAGGTTGAGAAAAGACTCAGTAACACACCCAAGTTTCAAAGATGAAACACAAGAGCAAATTTTCATCATTGCTTTTTAAAAAAATGCATGATGGCTACTACCTGGGCTGACGGCTCCCTGGAGCAGGGACAGGTTCTTTCCAGGTAGTTTCAGTGCATCACATTCTGCAGCTCTCTCTTTCACTCCCCAGCCCCTTAAGAAATACATTTTGGAAGCTGAGCTGGAAAAATTTCTCTCTTGCCTTCCTCAGCCCTGTTCCCTATTTTTTGATAACTTTGGTCAGTGTCACTGTGAGAGGCAGCTAGCTGCCTCAAAGGTGTTAGTTTTTCTTCAATTCATTCACAGACCAGTAAACACACACACCCACAACCTTGCACCTCTCTATTGATGCTGGCGGAAACCATCTTCTGCTACATTCTTTGCATTTCTAACACCAACATATTATAACATTCAAGGTTCCTAGGCCAAAATTTTATCCATCTCATGTTCTTAGAAAGGGACTGATAGCAGCTATTCTAGATCTTTTGCACGTTCTACAGATCCCCTGTTTATTTCTTTTTCTTTCATGGGAAGAGGGAAAACATTTCATTCATCAGAATCTTTCTTAATTTGCTGCATTTGTTTAGGAACCAGTCCTTTTCTAGACTGTTCCAGGGAAAGCCCTCAGCTGGTGTGCAAGTGAAATGCATCAGAGCAAGACTGCTGTCCAGGATAAGTGAGAAACATGCATCATTTTGAAAGAGAGTGGGGAGGGAGGGAGGGAGAGGAGGAAAAGAGGGAGGAGGAAAGAGAGAAGCTGGAAAGGTCAGACCACCATCCTCTCAGACACCCAGGCTTGTAACCCCCTCTCTGCTCCTCACATTCATTTACCGTCCCCTGGGAGTAGATTCTCAAAGCCTGTCATTCTTTTCCATCATTGAATGAAGCCCTTTATTCTGTGTCTGAATACCAAGGTCCCAGAGCGTCTTTCTGCCATCAGCTTCTCCACCCTCTGCCACACCTCCGTTGTCGGACCAATCTTCTGACAGCCCCTCGCTGTGGACCCAACTTATCCTTCTTGGTCTATCTTCATAGCATTAGCTTTTATTGAGCACTTATCACAAGCCAGGTACTCTGTTAAAAGCTTCTAAATGTAATTTGTCCATCTAAAATCTCTTTCCTGGAATGTGCTTTCTCCCCTACCTCCTCTCCCACGCTCTGAAATTGCATTGTGATGCTATTGACTAGAGCTGAGCATGTGATGCAGGCCAGCCAATCAGAGCATTTCGCAGCCTTGCCATGGGCCAGCCAATTAGAACCCTTCACAGACTTGCCATGGTCCAGCCAATCAGAACCCTTCACAGCTGGGCCATGGGCCAGCCAATGAGAGAATTTCACAGCCTGGCCACAGGCCTGCCAGTCTGAGCATTGTACCCTCTGCCACCCTACCACCACCCTCAGCTTGCTTGCTTTCTTTTTACTTTTCTCTTTCTTTCTTTCTTTCTTTCTTTCTTTCTTTCTTTCTTTCTTTCTTTCTTTCTTTCTTTCTTTCTTTTCTTTCTTTCTTTCTTTTTTCTTTCTTCTTTCTTTCTTTCTTTTTTTGGGGATAGAGTCTTGCTCTGTTGCTCAGGTTGGAATGCAGTGGTGGTCACTGAAACCTTCACTCCCCGGGTTCAAGTGAGTCTCCTGTCTGAGCCTTCTGAGTAGCTGGGATTACAGGCACATGCCACCACACCCAGCAAATTTTTGTATTTTTAGTGGAGATGGGGTTTTGTCATGTTGGTCAAGCTGGTCTTGAACTCCTGACCTCAGGTGATCTGCCTGTCTCAGCCTCTCAAAGTTCTGGGATTACAGCCATAAGCCACTGCACCTGGCTCCATCCTCAGCTTTCTAAAATATGATGTGTAGGTGTGGTGGTGAGGAGTCTTCTCTTCTGTGTTTGAAATCTACACAGAGAAGCAGAGAGGAGAGGTGATGCAGAATGAGAGAGAAAGGGAGACCTGATAACATTGTCCCTCTGGATCCCATGGCATGTGGGGCTTGTTCTACCTCTGGACTTTTTCCAGAGTAAGTAAAAAAGTCCCTTTCTTTCTTCAGCCTGTTTGAATTAGGTTTGAAGTTCCTTACAACTGAAGCCATGAAGAAAGTATCATGGATTAGCAATTGCTGAGTCTGTCCTGCAGACTCTGGGCGAGTGACGGATGAAAGGAGTACTCAGACACAGGTATACAGTGTTCAAGAGCAGCTAGGGGACTGCCAGCACTAGTGGTCAAAGAGAGTGAGCAGTCCAATCAGTTGGAGCTGCTAGCATTTACTGCATACAGACAATGCCAAAAACCTGGAGCAAACACAATCTGCTGGTAATTAATTTCTTCCCCCTTACAGGGAGCAGTCATGCTCATGAATGCGAAAGGGTTGGTTTTAGGACAACATGGGTAAACAAGCTATTTAGATCAACTCCCCTACATTTCCTTGTTCTTACTCCTTGCCCTTTGCCTCAGGGTAAGAAGAGCCACCGTCTTCTCATTCTTCCCTGAAGCTTTGCAAAACCTCCCAGCCTTCCAAGAAGGTTTGCATTTTTCCTACAATTTTTCCCACCACCCTGACCAATCTCCCACAAGTGACTGGGCCAGCGGTAGGGAGGTAAAATAATTTACCAAGACAGTTGTAGGTAGAAAAAGGCAGACTCATTAGAGAAAGTATGAAAATACCTTTCAAATAAGCAATGGACAGGATCAGTAGAAGAGGCACTGACTGCAAGGAAACAAAGGCTTGCTGGAGGTTTTATAGTTGGTTCTTGGGCTACAGAGTGCTCAGTGCTGATTAACACCAAGGGTGCAGGGAGCTAAGTTGCATTTTATCATATCGGCTGCAGGTCTGGTAATAGCTGGGCACAGGAAGATTATGAGTTATTTGTGCAGGAGGGCTGTGTGTCCTGAACCATGTGGAAAGGCAGACTTGTGGCTTATCTGCTTCTTCTTTTTGCTTTTGCCTGCTCTTACCAGCCTGACTCCCTTTCCCTAATTAGGACACTTGAGAGAGAATTTAAGAGGGCCTTTGTCCTTTGATCCTCATGACCAACATGAGGCAAGACTGTTAGTTCACCATTTTGATGGGGAAGTGACAACTGAGAGATAAGCCATTGCTCAAGGTCTCATGGTTTTTAAGTGGTTGAGATAGAATTTATAGCCAGGCCTCTGACTCTGAGGCTGCTCTCTTAACAGTGAGTTCTAAGGCCTTCCAGGAAAATGTACCTGGTATTTCCTGTTTCCCACGCACATCTGCACCAGTTCCCAGCACATTCCACACGCCCCTCAAACAGGCCCTGGGTTTTCCCAGGTCTGCATTTTTACCTGGAACATGCTCTTTGCCCCACCTCTGCCTGGCAATATTTACTTAACTTTCCAATCTTGGATCAAATGTCAAATCTTTCTGGAAGGCTTCAATACCACACTCAGAAAGCAAGTACTTCCTCCCTGGAGTTTTAAGGCTTTTGATTAGACCCCTAGGCCAGGTAGCTACATTTGAGGGCTGATGGCACAGGATCGTGTAGGGATTTCTTAGGGAGACCTAAGTCTTGGGGAACTGATCATTTAAAGTTACCAGATTTAGGTGCTAGTCATTTTGATGGCATCTCAGCAAAACACCACACTTTTCAATAACAAGAAATGACACTGTCATGGAATGGGCAGTGCCTTTGGGGTAAGACAGAAGTGGGTCTGAATCTGGCTCTGGAACTCTAGAGCTTGGGTGACATTAAAAAGATTACCCATTTTCTCTGAGTCTCATTTTTCTCACCTGAATATGAGGATGAGAGCAGTACTGATCTTAGAGAGTTGAGAGAAGTAAATGGGATCATGAATGTTAAGGGCTTAGCACAGCATATATGTTTTTACATAAGGGATTACATCTTAAACTCATTTTTGCTCCTGTATGCAGAGCAGACACAGGTAACACACATACTTATTAAATGAAGGACCAAATCTTACGAATATCCGTCCTATAAACCTTCTCCCAGTCTTTGATAGCAAATGGCCACCTACGGTTGCTCAAAGAAGCTAAAGAGAATTGGAAGCAGCAGGACGGAAGAGAGGTGGAGGGAAATGGGAGTCAGAAAATAAACATCCTTTTAAGAAAGGCTTACAAGAGCAGTGCAGGTGTACCGGTGAGGCAAAAACCAGGATTAGCTTTGTTCCTTAAATGACCCACACTTCGTCCCTTACTTTGTCTTTTCTCAGAGGACACTGGGTGAGATGATCAATGACATAGGCTGCATTGTTTCTTTTGGAACTGTGCAGCGCTCCCAGTTCAATCTTCCTCATAAGCAGGCGTGAGGCAGTGGTGCAGTGGTGGTGTTGCCATGGTGGCAATAGCAGCTACCCAGCAGCTTCCTGACCTCTGAGTTGAAACTCTGGTTGTGTGACCTTGAAACCAATACTCATGTTGTGACCCTTAGCTTCTCCTCCAGCCCCTCCAAAAATGTTGAAAGCATACAATTATCTTTCTTATATCCCTCTCTGCTTGAAATACGTAGAGGGGTTTCTGTTTCCACCACTTAGCACTGAGTAATACACATTGTATAGAAAAACAAGCGTATTGAACATTAGTTTTAAGTTGGGCATGATGGCACACTCCTATAGTCCAAGCTACTCAGGAGTCTGACAAGGGAGAATTGCTTGAGGGCAGGACTTTGAGGATGTAGCAGGCTATGATTGACTTTTACCAGTGGGAAATATCCGAGTGGTGAATCCGTATGGGTCTGCAGCAACCTCAATTCTTGCTTCCTCAGAAGAAAGAATTCAGCCAAGGAGCATAAGGCAGAAAAAGAGACTGAAGCAAGTTTCAGAGTAGTTTATTTTAAAAGGATTTTTTATTTAAAAAAAGGCTTTAGAACAGGAAAGAAAGGAAAATTCACTTGGACCCAAGCAGGTACCTGAAGGTCAGGTGCAGTGTTGAACCTTGATCCTAGGACTTCATAGGCTGGCCCCTTTCCCATGATTCTTCCCTCAGGGTGGGCTGCCTGCATGCACAGTGCCCTCTTTATCCTTGGGAGATGAGCACTCACAGTGTTTAGGAAGTTGTGCACATGCCTATCTGAGGCTTCCTTCCCTTTTCTGGTGGAGTGCCCTCAGAGGATCATCCTCTGCCATTTTGTCTCTTAATGCATATGCCCAGGAAATTGTGTCTCCCTGGAGTTTGCTTTCAATTAACACTTTAGTGCAACAGGTGTGGACCATCAGGAGATGGCCTCTCCCTGGTGCTGGCTGCCAGTGCATCACTTTTAGAGAGGTTATGTGATCACTGCCAAACCATCACCTGATGTTCTTAAAAAAACTTTTTTTAATGTGAGACAATTTATTTAGAAAATTATAGAGATATGACAGTTATGAAGGTGGTCATAAGTGGTGGTATGCTGAAGCGTGGGAAACGCCGGTCTCATTTAATAATCAGAACCAGGTAAGCACCATCATTACCTTCAAGAGAAAACTTAGAGAGGTTAAGTGAATTCCTCAGAATTACATAGCTGTTAGGTAGTGGTTCTGACTCCACAGCTCACTTTTTGAAGCTGGGGAAAGAAGTTGGAACTGATTTGGTTGTCATCAGAGACCAAATATCAAGTGGCACCGTAACTGAGTCCTGAAGAATTAGTAGGATTTATCCGTGAGTGAGGTGGGGAGGGATTTCCAGGCTGACATGGACAAAGCTGTGGTGGCGTGAGTGAGCACTATGCATCTTGGGAACTGACGGAGCCCTTAAATTCTAGAGCAGAGGAGTTGCAAGGGAAACTGACTGGAGGTGATACTGAGAGGTGAGCAGGAATCTGGTTCTAGCATGACGTGGTAAATGCCCCATAAACTGCATACCTTGACCATACCTCGGCTTTCTGTTGAAACTGCTCTCTGTAACCCAAATGTGACAGGAAAGCAGTCCAAACCAATGCCATTTTTGCCCCTGTGCCATTTTAAGAATCGTAGTAAGTAACTAAGGTCTGTAATTTCCACCCTACCCAGACAATGTGTAAACTAATGCTTATCTTGACTTCTGTGAATCACTTAAGTAACAATCAGAATGTCCAAAGCCCCCTGGCCCTCGGAATGTCCAAAGCCCCTCACCCCCACCCCCACCCAGGAGGTGGTTTACAGGCATACAAGGTCTTGACACCCTCCTTTTGGGGCCACAGGTTAGAGAGACACAAGTCTTCCGTGGCTGCCGGCAATAAAGACCCTGTAATTTGGCCTAGTCTTTGTCTCAGTGGTGATTTTGTGCTTGCTCGGTTACAACACTAGGAGTCCTTAAAAGCTATGATGAGGAGATGACACAATTCTGAAAGCCAAGGAGCCATGGAAGGATGTTAGTGACAGGGTGACCTATTTGGATGGGAATCTTAGAGAGGTTACTTCATCCAGTAGAGACTTGGGGCTTAGGATCTAAGCTGAGAGACAGGGGTGGGCTGAGGAGCCTGTAGGTATGTTTTGAGAACTAAAACCATTTCCTTCCACAGCTGACTTTCTACATGGACATCGTTTTACTGTTACACTGTCTTTATTAACATGACTTTACTATTCCAGGAAACTCTTGCCCAGAAGGATAGAGGTTACAAATATCCTGTGGTTCAGTTCAGGAACTTCCCAAATTTGTTTAAATGAATATCAAATGGTTAAACTTTTTAATAGAAAGTGTGAAACAACAGTTTGCTCCCCAGAATCTTTTGAACCCCTTCCCTCAAAATCCTCGCCTCACTGTGTCCTTAAGTCCTAAACTCAGATCAAGATCCTTATCAAACCCCGATCCAGCCCCTTCATTGAAATACCTGCCAGGAACCAGACTCCAAAACCTGATCTCTCTTAGTCCTCTGAACACTCTTAAGACTCTGGCAAGGTTTGTTTTCCTCACTGCCCAGGAGGCTTGGCTTTATCAAATAGTGAAACTGCCTATGCAAAAATTATGACAGTGAGAGAAATCTGATATAGCTTGTGCTAATCCGCTTTGTTAACTTTAAAAAGAAGGTAACAGTCTCTTCCCAGAACTAATCTTCTCCTTGAGCAGGAACTGAAACTGTCTTTGTA